TTGTCATCAAAATCAGTGAAAACTGTTATTTGCTTTGTTATTGTCGACGGCTGAATTAGGTTTTCACCGTGAGAATTTTGAATGCTAGCTGAATTTTTTAATTTTGGGATGTCGATTTTGTACTGAAATTAGTTCTGATATAGAAGGAAAGTAGGCATAATTGTAGGAAACAGCTGTAACAGTAACTACACACACACACACACACACACACACACCTGATTTTTAAATCTTCAAACTATGCACCTGATATATGCTTCGATGTATACTTAATCACTGAAGTATGATTTTTTTCCTTACACAAATTCAAGGCTTAACCACTGAGCGTGAGCCTATAATTAAACAAAAAATCAAAATTTTAATAATTAAAATATAGATCTATTTCTCTTCGTCAACTATGCAGGTAAGGAAATCGGACTTGAGGACCGTAGATCCAATGGTACTATTAATAATGCTTATGAAAGAAAGGTTTGATTGTAACTTCACGACAAGCAACCCACCCGGACACCTTGTAAAAAAAAAAAAAAAAAAAAAGTTTACTCGAGCGATAACGTCCAAGGTATTACTAACGTATTTTTTTATTATTATAAATAATAAAAATATTATAATTGTTTGGGCTTTCCAAAAACCCGAGAAGCCATTTCCCAATTAACACCTCTTTATTCATTTCAATTTCCATTATTTCTCTTTACATCTCATAATTTTTAAGCAAGTTCTCTCAAATTATAGCGTAACGCTCCGACCTAATCGCAAACATACGTATCTTTGTCCGTATTGTTTTTTCTACATAAATGAATACCATAAAAATAGATGGAAGCATAAATTTTATTTATATATTTTTTAATATACACCTACATTAATAATGATTTTAAATAGGATTAGTTCATATTTGGTAATATCAAGGCATATTCTAAAATTAAGAAATCAAATTTTTGTAAATTTTGATAAAAGTTGATGAAATGTATGATTAAAAAATCATGAATTTCATAAAATGTGCAGTTAGAATTAATTGTTAATTTTGATTTAAAATTTTAATTTGATTTTAATCTATACCAAACGAGGGCTAAATAATATATATCTACGATTTTAATGAAACTAGATAATGCAATTAATTGCAGTGGTTTACATATAAACCTAACCTTTTAAGTCCACTACAATATAATAACAGTCTACCTTGAAATAATCAAGTGTCAAGGCCATTTTTGAGAAAATTTGACTCTTCACGAGCTTTTAATGTTTAACTAACATTCAACAGAATCGATCTTTTGCTCATAATGAATATGAGATATTTCACTCATCGATGATATGACAACTCACATCATCAGTGGAGTCAAAAATACCAATGATGTGATATCATCAATGGACAATGTATCTCATGTCCAATATGGGCAGGAGATTAGTTTTGTATCATTCAACACATTGAACATGCTCCAAGGTAAGATATGTTTCTTTAAATATCAATATTCTTTTTAGGTGACTTAACAAACCATTTTATAAGGTTTCGTTTCTCAATAGACAAATGTTTCTCTTACATATCTTTGTTTATAGTAGTGTGATTTACATTCTTAGCTCATTGAAAACATTGGATCTTAATTTCAGTGTGAGGAAAATTGTTCATGTGGACAATATAATGGCTCGCGACTTTCATATGATTTCAAATTGGACGTTCAATCGTTTGATGATTTTGCCTTTCAAATATAAATCGCGTTAAAGTAAGTACAATTCTAACTTTCAAATTGATCGTTTCCATCCCATGAGATTCAAAATTACATATTTAAATAGTTGGGGATTCAAAATCTCATTTTTGAACGTTAAAAACCTAAAATTACACTAATTAAAAGGCAGAGGATTGCAGTCATAATTTACTCTCAAATTTGAGAACTATATGATGACTTTATAAACAGATGTAAACATTTCATCGCATTATACAGAATAAATAAAACGAAAGTTTTGTCTATATTTAGGGTAAGAAAACAGTGGAGGTCCCCAGCCATTGATGCTTGACACTTTTGTCTCCAACTTTTAAAAGGTGACACTTACATCCTCAATCTTTCATTTTGGTAGCACTTAGGTCCCAAGTGGAGAATTTTACCGTTTTCTTTAAACGCCTAGTTAAAATTCATTCAAAATGATGATTTTACCCTTACATTTTAATAAACGAAAAAGTAAATATTAGCAAGATTTATGGCCTGTTTGATTCCATCAGTTTAGTTTATTTCAAGGCTTGCTACAATATTATTTTCAATCAGGCATTCACACAATAAAATATTTTATACATTCTCCCAAAACTTTTTTTTAATCGCACATTTTCCTAAAAATACTATTCAAAACTTATTTTCTCTCCAATGAAAGGGAATCAAATAGGCACTTAGACAAAGAAATAAAAAAAAATAAAAATAAAATTCATATTCTTCATTTCTCAACTCATTATCTGTCAAAACACCTCCACCCGACCCCCTTCAACTCCAATGTCAACACCACCAAACCCATCGTCTCGTCCCAATTTATACTTTCATGAATATAATTTTTGATGTGTTTGGATATGGTACTGAAGGAAAAACTCCCTCCCCATTAACTCGCCCCACATTGTTCTGACCCGTGCCAGACGGGAACATAGTTTCTTCCCCATATTCCCCAAATATGTTCAAATCTTTGTTTGTTGTTTTTATGTTTTTAATTTAATTAGTATTTAGAAAATAAAAATAACATTGTTAATTAATTAATTAAGTGAGAAGATAACTAAATACTTTTTATTCCCCCATCTCGATAGTAGAGTTTAGAGCTAAAAAAAAGTTCCCAGTCGACAAGAGAGAGGGCATACTATACTTTTTGAAGGATTCTTTTTCTTCGTAAGTCATTCATGGCAGGTAGGAAAGGTTTGTGCACCTACAAAAGGATTTGCAAAAGAAATAAATTGCGATTTTGAACCTCTCGCCCAAGTCCTTGACGTAGTACTATTCATCAAAGTCTAGTCCCATCCAATTGTCATTGCTAGAATGGTCTTCAAATGTTAATCAATCTTCACGTCATTATTTCAAAAAAAAATTTGGTAGGTGCAAATTAACATCATTAGATTATTATTATTATTTTTTTCTATTTCTATTTTTTCTACTTATTTTTGTTTATTGAATTTCAATATACAATGGCGAAATTGCCTTGTAGGACAATTTTAACCAGTTTATTATAGATAAAATTGTCCATCAAGGACCAGAGTGCTATCAAAATGAAAAATTGAGGACATACATTCTATCTTTTAAATGTTGGAGATAAAAGTGCAACAAGTGTAGGTTGAAAACCTCTACTTTTATTTACCTTAATAAGAACTTTATCTAAATCAAAGTGCTAAACTTTAAGCCATTGTTTGAGTTACATTATTATTTAGAAATGTATTTTTTTTCAAACTCATTTTCAATTATATATTTTTAAATAAAATAATTTTGCATTATTCCCAAAAGGTTTTCATACATTTTAACTGCATATTTTCCAAAAAATTAATAATCCATTCTCCCAAAAAGTAGGGTTCTAACAAATCCTAAATGTTACTCAAGCAAGTAATAGCAATCCGTGTACTTCGAAATTTAGATTGAAACAAGATAATTTATACTTTTTCAAGCAAGTGAAGAACAAAAGATATATATTATCTTTAATAATAATAATAAAAAAATCGAAATAATATTGTTCTATGTTTCCAATTTATAAGTTTGATCTCAATCACTTATGAAGGATAAATTTCATCTACAATTAATTGAAGTTTGATTAAAATCTCAATTTATGCACTAAACTTTAATATAGTTTTAATTTAGTTTCTAATTTTACGACTTCTTGTCTTTCGTCTCTCAAAATTGATGAAAATTAATTAATTGACATACATAAAAAACGAAATACCACAATGAATCACTGATGTAATTAGTACATTGTATTCAAACCTGCTACTATATATGCACATTATAAAAGGGCTTAAAATAACGCATTTCAACATTCTTCATTCAAAGATATTATCATAACCATCGTTTTATCACTTTCTTATCTATGGTGTCATGTAATGATTATGTAGAAGATTAAATATTGTATAATTGCCAACTACGTGATTTCTACTAGTGAGGAATGAGGTAACGAAATGTGACCAATGATGAAATTTGAAATTAAATTAAGGTTCAATGACCTAATAATTAGTAAAAATAAAGTTTAGTGTCGACCAATGTAACTGAACTTTGTGAAAAACTTCAAATTCATCCTAAAAGTATATTTCTTATCATTTGGTCACTGAAGTTATTATTGATGTCACAATTGATTACTTGATTACTAAAAATACCATATAAACTAACGTGGTATCAATTAAGGGACTTTGCTATGGGTACAGAAAAGGCAGTACAGAATGAGTACAGAAATTCAAAACATACACACATACTTGGTGGTGGTGTGATTTTTTCAATATAAAACTCACATGGCCCCCACCCCATGTGAGCACCCTATTTTCCTCCTGTATAAATAATTCTGTACTTGAAGAATTATTCATCAGTTAAGTCTCCCCAAGACATGACATGTTGATTTCTTGGGTGCTAAAAGATGGATAAAATTCGTTTTAACTTGCTAAAATTCTACCTTTCCTTGTTTGGTGTAGATTAAAGTCAGTTTTTTAATGGATTTTGATAAAAATTGAGAAATTTGTAATTAAAAATTTGTGAGTTTTATGAAATGTGTGATTAAAATTAATTATTAATTTTTAATCTACATCAAACATGGACTTTAATTGACCACTTTTACTTGTAGTTAATGTTAGTTTAAACGATAGTTGGATTCGGGAATTTTATCCTACAACGATTTGTGATTGACCGAAGAAGTTAAATAATTTAGTTGACCTTGGCACTTTTAGACATTAATTTTAACAAACGAGTGATCAATTGTGAAATTGTTTAATAACTCTAGGGACCAATAGGATAAATAAAAATACTTTAATGGTAAATTTGAAATTAACTACTTTTTATTCTTGCTATGTCCAATGTCTTTGTCTGATCATTCTTTCTCCCAGCAGTAGAAATACGCATTTAACCGCCTATCCATTCCCAATTCACAAAATTTCCACTTTTCAGTGTTCCCATTGCAAAATTCCATCCCTTATTCTCTTCCCTACGAATACAGTATGGCAGTCAGCAACAATCTAACGGCGATCCTCAATTTCATAGCATTCATGTGTTCAATTCCCATAATTACCGCCGGAATATGGCTCGCATCCAAGCCGGACAACGAGTGCATCCACTGGCTCCGGTGGCCGGTGGTCTTCATGGGAATAGCAGTCCTTCTTGTTTCCTTACTGGGCTTCGTCGGAGCTTACTGGAAAAAGGAAGGTCTTCTCGGAGTTTACCTTGTGCTAATGGCCATTCTCATAGTTCTACTCCTCGTTATACTGATCCTTGCCTTCGTCGTCACGCGCCCTAACGGCGCGTACCATGTGCCCGGCCGGGCTTACCAAGAGTACCGGCTGGAGGGTTTCTCCCCCTGGCTGAGAAATCATATTACTAGCTCTGATTACTGGGGGAGGATAAGGACGTGTTTGGCTGACTCTTCCATTTGTCCTAAACTGTCTCAGGAGTATATAACTCCTAATGATTTCTTTGCTGCCCATCTGTCTCCGATTGAGGTAAAGTTACGTTTTCTTATGCTTCCAAACGAGGTCTCAATATGCTTTACTTGTGGTTTGACTTATAAGTTGCTTTTATCGGAGTTGAAATGATACTGGGCATCATACTTTTAAGTGAGAATGGGAAATAATTGGATTGTATATTGAAGTTGTAGAAGAAATATATGTTGTGTGAAGGATTTCATGAACATTAGGCCAATGGTTAGTGTAACTTTTTCATCTAGGATGAAATCCTACGATATAGGGGGATCGAATCAATAGGATCCGGATTTAGGGGTTGAGACATTTAACCATTGTGAATGAATCTAGATATCGAATTCTAGTAAACAGGGTAGTATAGAGAATCTAGATATCGAAACATAGTGTAGTATAGAGTGATACGAACAAATTTTAACTTCCTGAGGAAGTCGGTGGTGATTTTGAACCTATTATGGGACTATTCGACTGATTTGCTATGTTATGTTCATGGATTTCAGTATTGCAGAACATCCCGGAAGTTTCTCTGGTATTATGTGAGAATTACAGGTGATTTTGATGTTCAAGTTCAATCTATATGGGAGAGAATGTCCATACTAGTATATAAAATGCAAAATGAAAATGGTTCCCATTTTGAATGAACAAAAAGAGAGGTGATTTGGACCTACCACAACTTTTTGTTGCATATCAGTCAATTTGTCCATAATTTGCTTGATTAATCTAATATGACTTTAAGCTTAAGAGTCAAAGACTCCATTATCACACAAATCTTGGACAAATCTGGATTCTTTGGGCCAGAATTCCATGTGGATTCCACCATTCTTTATTCTATAATATACTAATTGAATTCGAAGAAAATGAGGTTATCAATCCAGCCAACCTGTAGTTTTGTTTGTTGTCTAGGTAGTGCCTAGTGGTGGTCCCTGTGGCATCTTCCGATCACATGCAGTCATCTATAATATTCCCTTTTTCGTGGAAAGTTTCCACCTAACGCAATTACTCTACAATAATTGGGATCGTATCTTTTCTGTGCCCCATCATACATGTTCTTAGGGTTGCTATTTTGGCACCGTTCTTTACATTTTGTGTGCCAATTAGTTCATGTCACGACCAATCCTCAGGCGTGCACAACACATTTTCTTGAAGGATTAATATATGTGTACAAAATAATCTACTAAAAGTTTGACAAACTCGACACTTGGCGGCCCCTTGTTGGAGGGGTGGTTGGCTCCACAGCCTCCCCTCCAACAGGCAGCCGCCAAGTGTCGAGTTTGTCAAACTTTTTGTAGTTGGTTTTGTACTTCTAGCATAGTCCTTTCTTGAAATTTCCCCCTTTGGCTATAACATATCTTTGAAATTTTCACATTGCAGTCGGGTTGCTGTAAGCCTCCAACGATCTGCGGGTTCCAATACATGAGTCCCACATCGTGGATCAGCCCATCAAACCAAGCCGTGGATGCGGATTGCTTCGTATGGAACAATGATCCAAGCCAACTGTGCTTTAACTGTAATTCTTGCAAGGCTGGTCTACTGGGAAACCTAAGACAGGAATGGAGGAAAGCCAACATAATCCTTATAGTCACAGTTGTGGTTCTGATTTGGGTTTATCTTATTGCTTGCAGTGCATATAGAAACGCTCAAACCGAAGAATTGTTCGGCAGATACAAACGGGGTTGGACTTGATTTGACAACACCACCCAAACATCTCCGACTTTTTCTCGAATTCCACTGGTTTTGTGTCCAACTTTTGTTCTTTGCTTTAGTGCATCGTTGCTTTATGACTGGTTGTATATATTCTACGTATTGTTCTTTCTAGTTTTGAATTTTAATGGACCTTTAAAGGAAGAAAAGGTATAAAGTTTGTATTTTCCGTCGGTTACTTTGTTCTGTATTCTTATTGGCTGGTCACATTAAGCTATAGAATCGTATTCTAATTTTCACTTTTTGCGAGATTCTTGGAATTCAATGTTTTCTTCCATGTATTGGATGGTAGTTGAGTTGTGTTATTTGAACCTCTTGTCCTTTCGATACATTGCAAATAACTATTTTAGCGAATGAAAGTTATCAACACATTTTCGAACATCTATTTGTCGAGCTTTGGTAGATTTCCCCAATGCAATCTACATAAATTACATATGCTGATTTTTTTTTCTTTTTTTTTTCCCACTAATTAAGAAGGAAGTGATATGTCGAGATGTAAAAAATATATTGCGGCACATGAAGTTCGGGACAATGTATATGGGGATCATACAAACTCATTTTCATTTTTTACAATTTTGTCATATATTGTTCGTGAACTGACAATGTTGCTCAGTTTCCAATCAAAAGTTACTAATCTTACACGTAATTGTTGTTTTACATCCTACAAATAAAATAGTAAACTAAGGATTATAACAATATTTTTAAATATTCTGAAAAAAGAACCAATATTTTAAAATTAAAATGTTAAAAGACGTTTTTTTTAACACTTTTACAGTGTGCCACTATAGTAAATTGGCATGCCATGTAGTGATTTCGTGGTGCATTCGTTGCGGTAAGATTAAAAATTAAACAATTTTCATTAAGAGTCCATTTGATAACAAAGGTAGAAAAGGCAAATCAATTCCATATAAGTTGGAAAAGAAAAAGTCACCAAAACGACAAGAATTCGATTTTCATGAAATTGGCCAAAAACATGCTTTAAGTGTTTGTACTTTGGAATTCAAGTTCTATTTCCACTTTCATATCAAACAACAAAGGTAGAAAACGAATTCTTCGGATGTGACATTTTTAATGGAATACGACGCTATCAAATGACCCTGATTTCAAAAATGGCAGTGGTTAAATTAAATTGAAGTTCATGCTTAATTAATACAAATTAATGTTTAGTGGTTCAATTAAACTTTCACTAAAAGTTCAGTGACTGTAGATGAAATTTATCCATTTCTTCTTTCCCGGTTGTTTTGTTTTGATAAAAATAAGAATTTTTAGTAGATTTTCGTAAAAGTTGATGAAATATATAATTGAAAAGTTGATAAAAATATGAGCATCAGGATAGGTAGGATTAAAAACGAGTTTGAAAAAAATGAATTTTAAAAATGAGATTCAACCGAGGTTAAATTGTGTGTGGTGTTAACATACACTAATATAAATTATTTATTTATTTATTATTATTATTATTATTATTATTATTATTATTATTATTATTTTTATTTTTTATTTTTTTTTTCCCACCACAAACATCTCATTTAAACTGTCGACTATAGAAGCTCACAAACATGTGCACCGACAATTGGTCATTACTATGTAGTATATACAAAAATCAAACATTCACTACAAAAATATTTGTTTCTCCAATATGTTTCGGAACTAGCATCGATGCATGCTCAAGTTGTGGGCATTCCTAAATTTATAGATGGACCGCCATCACCGACCCATGGAATGTAAAACATTAAAATTTTCAAATTAAAAGATGAGGTATTTTCAAGAATATCTAATTTTAAGGGTTTGAGACTTTGAGTTGAAAAGTATCCACTCATTTGAATTTAGTGCCAACTTGTCTATTGTGCTCTTAATGAAAAAATGAAGCAATTGAATGTCGTTCTCGACATTTGATTTTTTTTTTCAATTTGTCACGAATTTCGAAAAGTATCTTTTATGAGAAGCTACATTAAAATAATGTTTCTCGATATTTCATGTCATTCTCGACATTTGAACACCGTTTCATTTGTCTAGAATGACATTTCATTTTGAATATGACATTTCTCTACATTTGAAATATAGTTTTTGACATTTCTGAGTCAATGAAAAATATAGCATTTATTGTGATTTGACATATATGATTTTGAAATAAATATGACAGGTTATGTGTCAAAATTTTATTAGCCAATAATAATTTTGCAAAAATGTCCATTTTTTTTTTGTCTTATTGTGGAATTATAAATTATTAATAAGGGTATTTTGGTCTAAATTCTTCCAAAATAGACATTTTTGCAAATGACTAGGTGAAATGGACATCCTATGAAATTTCATCTTAAAAGAATTATTTTAAGAAAACTAACCAAACAAGTTTAAAGTATCTCGTATAGTTAAAAGAATTATTAAAATTTTACGACCCAATTTGTTTAGCTAATTTTATGAAAGTATCTCTTTTACTTAGAAGAGCTTTTAAAAAAAATTGGTCAAATGTGACTTTCTTGAAATGCACTTCTGAAATAAAAATCTCTTTTAAAAATTAGTTTTCAAACAAAAATTAAAGTAATTTTTTCTAGAAGCAAAAACAAAAGTAAAAGTCATTCCAAATAGACCCTACAAAGAGTGAAGTGACAAAAACCACAATTAAGCTCGTATAGTGAAACTACGATATCGAAAGAAGTGGCAGCATTATTCGCCAACTGAAAATCACTTTGCAAACTCTGAATTTCTTGAAGAGAATCACATTTTGCAACCAAAATAACCGAGCTGTGATATACTGTTAGATGGAGACCCTCTCTAAGGGTTAATGAACCACAATTTTAATGACTTTTGTTCTTAAAGAATCAATGTTTTGGCTATGAATACTTATTTTGATTTTACATTTTTCTTACAATCTCCCATATCTCACAATTTATTTATTTCAATTATGATACAATATAAATGAACTTAAATTCCACTCCCAAAAAAATGGATAATAATGGGTTGTACCAGCCCAGCCTGAAATATTAGCAGGACCGGGGCCTAGGTCGGTCCACAGATTTGAAGACGGTCCAGGCATAGCTCTAAACATATTTTTAAACAAGCCAATTCAAACATGCTACACAATTGAATCGGACCTAGTTGTAGGCAAGTTGATCCATACCAGCCCAACCAAATTTTGACACCACTAAATACAAAGCAGTTCATGAGTTGAATCAAGTTAATTTCTTGGTTCCATGTTTATGACTCGATGTGACAGTTGTCAAATTGTTAGAAAATATGGGTTGTGGGTCGTCCATGTGGGTGACCCGACCCACAAGTTAGTAAAATGGTTGGAGGGAGTGGTTAGAATTTGGAATTCAAACCTATAACTTCTGGTTACCTCCTTTTAACTCCTACATAACTTCTATTGATGAGGGTATGGAAGGCAGACATAAAAAGAAAAAAATGATGGCATAGAAAATAGTGTGAAATTTTGGATGTAAATTCATACCAAAATTGGAAAGCTCTAAGAACCACATTTTCGGTATGAAATCTCATAAAAGATGGTACTTAGATTGTGGATAATAACCTACTTCTATTGTGATTGGGACTGATACCATTGAAGTACAAAAAATGCAGAATTTGAAGATTTGAAAGCAAAGTAATTCAACCTCGATTTTGCGATTTCATGTAAGTAACACTACTTGAAACTCGGTTATAAGCATGCAAGCATGTTTTTCACAAATTTTGTCACTAACTCTCTTAAATCTTGTTGAGTCCTATCGAGTAGCAATTGGTTCCCTCTGTCTCCAATTAGTACAGCTATAGCAGCTAGATGGCTTGCCCGAATTTTTAAACCCCCATACCCACTTCTATCAAAGAATTTAGTTTCCAAAAATCACAGAAAGCACATTCAACCAGGTTTAGAGATCAAATTTGCATTCAGAACAAGTTGCCTCATATGTTAGTAACTCGGATAAATATTCGTTACTGCTGAGATTCATAAATGTATGCATTCACAACAACACATTCACAGCATAAACTGAATAAGTTGAATAAAAAATGTACCAGGTTCAAAGAGAGTGTTTGCACTGTGATCCTATCTCAGGCAGTTGCTGATTTTCTCGAGTACTCAATGTACATGGGATCTGTGCGTCCAGGGTTAGGAGATATATCCACAGCCTACAAAAAATGCTGAACAAATTATCACAACACAGGGACTACATTGAATCAAATAATTACGTTAAACTTCAATAGTGACATCCTCGTTAAAGTGATTAATTAGGAAACCTTCATGATTATGCTTACATTTCCAAGTTTTTAATTGTAGAAGGAATGACTTAATACCTTTGCCCAGTGCATTTTCTTCCAATTATCGCCATCGATAAAGAGTTGGCTCATCCGCCAAACATGGATCGGAAACGAATAAATAAAATTTAGATGGACAATGAGTCCTACTTTTGGAAATTTCTATTTGGTAATGATCAGAATATTCATTCCAAAAACACTAGGTTTAAGTTATCAAGTAATAGCCAAAGGAGCAAATTCTTAATATGCCAAATTGAAAAATTAGGATGTACCTTAGGAGGCTCAAACCCTGTAGGGAAAATTGCAGCAGTGGTCCCAACCTTTTTCTTTTTTTGTAGACTTTACCCAAATCTTCACTTTGTGTCACCCACGGTCCCAAACCTTTCAAAAATATTCACCTGGGAAAAAACATCAATTTGACCGTTAGTTGACTAGTAAAATTGAACTTTGACCAGTTTTAACCAATTATAAGGGTAAAATCGTAACTTTGTTATTTAACCCTATAAAACAAAATAAAATTATAAAAGGAAAAAATACACTATCATTTCCAATAAATGAGAAAATCACCAATAAACATAGTGACGTAGCGGAAACTTATAAGAAAGATAAGAAAATCTTTCAAATAACTTCAATGAGTAGAAAACTGAAGAAAATAATTTATTCTTCAAAAATTGTCCCGGCCACCAAGACTTACAAAGCTTTAAATACCGAAATTAAAATGGACAAAAATGATAGAAATGGAAAGCCCTAATCTTCAAGATCATCCCACAAAAAGGGAAATCAAATCGGAACTCATTTCCTGGAGATATGCCTAAACGAAAATTACCAGAAAGGAAAAAATGCCAAAACAGAGGCCTAAATGAAGAAATTTGCCGGAAATTGGCCGTACGTCTTGTTCGTTGGTCCGTTTCCATTCAAATTTGACTAAAAATTTGCCAAAAAACATACACCAAATTTCATCAAAAAAATCCACCATAATTATGTGCATCAATGGAAATATTTATAGCCACTAATTACATTAAA